ATTTAATTTTTTGAAGTAAACTTCTTTAAGCTCGTTTACTAAAAATCTCTACTAACTTGCCTTAAGCCATACACACCACTTACAACTAGTCTATCACCTTTCTAGCAAATGAATCCCCAGCAAAGCCAAAGGATGCGCCAGCAGATGTTAGCCCTGCAGCAGCAGCAGCAGCAGCAGGCCCAGCAGCAAGTCCAGCAGCAGGCGATGACCAACACTCAGCAGCAGGGAAGTCCTGCTCTGGTTGCACAGCTGCAAAGACAGCTGAATCAGCCGCAGCAGGCGATGATGAATCAGTATTCGCATCAGCCGCCTCCGTATTAAAGAAACCGGTAAAAAACAATTTGAAAAATTTGCATCTTGATTTCTTTTTTATTTGTCTTGATTTTGTTAAATTAAATTTTATAAATATAAATTTTATAAAAACACAATTTTAAATTGACGTGGGAAAATTAGATTTTTTTTAATCGGGGTAATACATAGGGATAACAGCTCAATGTTATGGCAAGGCCATTGTTACGCTTTAACTTTCATATATTATGCTACTGAATCATACTGTCAAAATGTCGTGTATTTGCTGTGCATTCAGGCAGTTTTACACTGCAACGTCATAAAAGTAACAATCTAAAATTTTGAAGTAAAACTTCTTTAGACTGTTCTGTTACATGTGTAAATTTTGTGGACAAATCACTTAGTTAATTGCAATATCCGGATTCTATTCAAAAAGACCTTCCAAACGATACCCAACATGCCAAATAACACAATTTAATTTTTTAAAGTCACTCGTATGTTATGAAGCTGGGTCAGAAACACTCTGTTATCTAACATCGTTTTTTTGACGTTTGGGCGGTTTTTAGGTTACATTTTTTTATGTGACAACTTGAGAAATACGCCTGACTGCATAGCAACCGCAATGGCTTTGTAAATATTAGTATGGAAAGTTCTTCATAACATGGCCTTCCATAATATTTTTGAAGTATAAATAGATCGCAATTTAAATTGTGTCCACACTCGATAGAGGCGCCACTAACTGTAGCACGTAAATTAACCCTTGGGTTTAATTCTAGATAAGATTTATTTAAATATATAATATAGATATACCTGGTTATTTTGAGAACAAAATATATGCGTGTAAAATATAAATTACAAATATGTTTTAACAAAAATATATATTAGAAAAAAAATTAAATGTTCAAAGCAGGGTTTCTCAAACTTTTGTCATTTGCGACCCCATTTATGATTGCGAGTTTGTTCAAACGACTTCACACAAATATAAAAAAAGGGAAATTATTATTTTTGATGATTTATTTATTAAGAAACAACATACATATATACGTATGTCAATATATAGTTAGGGTCGCGCCCCATAGTTTAAGAAGCCATGATTAAAAGTGATGAAAAAAGTGATAAATTTGAGAATAGTACACGCTCTTTTTCCACCTTATTATTTTTTTTTGTTTGCTCATCAGTAGAGTCCCTTTTTTAATATCAGTTTGGTCGCCAGTAGAGTCCCTTTACAAAATATTCAATTTATTAAATCATGTTTGCTCGTCAGTAGAGTCCTTTTTTCATTTTCTGTTCTTTATTTATTTTTGTTCCTCAGTAGAGTCCTTTTTTCAATTGCCTTTAATATCAGTTTGGTTGCCAGTAGAGTCCCTTTACTAAATATTCACTTTATCAAATCAAGTTTGCTCGTCAGTAGAGTCCTTTTTTCATTTTTTGTCCTTCATTTATTTTTGTTCCTCAGTAAAGTCCTTTTTTCATTTTCTGTCCTTTATTTATTTTTGTTCCTCAGTAGAGTCCCTTTTCCATTTTTGTCTTTTATTTTTAGTTTGCTCGTCAGTAGAGTCCTTTTTTCCATTTCCTGACAATTATTGACCAGTTTGCTTGTTAGTAGAGTCTTTTTTTCATTTCTTGTCTTCAATTTCAGTTTGCTTGTCAGTAAAGTCCTTTTTCCTTTTTTGTCTTTTATTTATTTTTGTTCCTCAGTAAAGTCCCTTTTTCATTTTTTGTCTTTCATTTTAGTTTGCTGAGTTCTTTTTTTCATTTCTTGCCTTTTATTTAAGTCATTTTTTTCATTTCTTGTCGTTTATTCCATTTGCTCGTCAGTGGAGTCCTTTTCCATCTCTTATCTTTAATTTCAGTTTCCTTGTCAGTAGAGTCCTTTATTACTTTTATTATTTATAATGCTTATATTTTCGTGTGAAAATCATTTTCTACTCATCGAGACCTTTTAAACGATACCCCACAAGCCATACAATATACAATCTTAAATTTTTGAAGTAAAACTTCTTCAAGCTCGTTTAATAAAAATGCGTAAAAAGTGTGCATCTTATGGATAAATTACATAGTTAATTGCAGTATTCGGGTTCTATTCAAAAAGACCTTTCAAACGACACCCAACATGCTAAAAAAACACAATTAAAATTTCTGAAGTAAAACTTCTTTAAGCTCGTTTACTACAAATTTATTAAAAGTGTATATTTTGTTGACAAATCTCATAATTAATTTTAGTATTTGTTACGAAAGTTTTACATCTCACATATTTAAAAAAAAATTGATGAATTTTAACATTCATTTAAATTTAATTAATTTATAAATTTATGTATTTAATGATTTACAAAATAATCATTTTTTCGTGAAAATCGTTTTCTACTCGTCGAGACCTCTAAACGATACCCCACAATAAAAGATCATCGCCATAAAAGAAACGATCTAAAATTTTTGAAGTAAAACTTCTTTAAGCTTGTTTAGTAAAAATGCGTGAAAAGTGTATATTTTGTGGACAAATCACATAGTTAATTTCAGTATTTGTTACGAAAGTTTTATACTACACATATTTGAAAAACAATTCGATAAATTTTAACATTCTAATATTTTTTGCAATAAAGTTTTATATATTTATTACAATATGATCATTTTTTTGTGAAAATCGTCTTCTACTGGAGACCTTTTAAATGATACCCCAAAAGCCATAAAAGAAACGATCTAAAATTTTTGAAGTAAAACTTCTTTAGACTGCTCTGCTACAATTTATTGGTTTTTACTATCTTATTTTTCCTTTAAATTAGAAAATAAGCTTAATCGAGAATAAATTTTACAAATCTACAAATTTTTGGTTGTTACTATCTTATTTCACGTTAAAATAATATAATAAACTTATTCGAGAAAAAATCCATTAGCTTTGAAAATTGAGCGCAGTTAGACCCTCTGTTGAGTGCGGAGAACACTAAAAAGGAGGATAAAGCACATTTGTTCTTTATTAACATCTTAGGTTATTTATTTC